GCAGAAATGAACGAGAACTGCAACACTTTCTGGAGACTCAGACCTCAAGATTCCCCAAGAAAAAGCTGTAACACCCCTTGAGGCTCTGTGGTTGCTAGCATCTCCAAGTTACTAGGCTCTGCCATTTCCCCCTCATCCAGACACCAGCACCCAAGGTAGAAGCCGTTCATGGCACTCCTGGACCAGCTGTGGGCTGACTGCAGAGCCAAGGCAAGTACAGCATCCAGACCAGTAGCATGAGCAGAGTGCAGCCTGCTAGGCCCAGTGGACAGAGCAAGTCCAGCAGGTCCAAATGAAGCCTGGGTGGAGGCGCCACTGGCCAAGGAGGTTTCCCACTGGTGAAGTGGCACTGAAAGAATTCTGTGTCATCAGTACTCAAATAAGCTATTCTTATTCTAAAACTGAGATAATGCTGTCAAAAAAAAAAAAAAACCCCCACAAGTTTCTAAGCACGTGTAAACCAACAGATTGTCACAATGCATTTCTGGGAATGTCATTAGTATTCCCCAGAGAGCTGGTAAAGCATCAAAGCATCTATACACAGCATAATCAATTTCCCTTTCAAATTTTCAGATTATGTTATCCTAGATGTAAACATAATGAAACATCTATACAAGCATTGTAAGCCAGGCATAGTTACAAACACTCTAAAAGCACAGAGGCTCTGTCCCCAGCTCTCTTAACCCTCTCTCAAAGCCCTCAATGCAAGAGAATGTGGTGGGGAAAAATGTGGAGCTTCTTGAGAATGTGGAGATTTTTTTAAAGTAGAGGATGAAAAGAGAGAGAAAAAAAGAGTAACTTTAGAGTGGAGAAACCAAACACTATCACAGGCAGGTAATCAAGGTTAACAGCAACAGTGATAAGTCAGACTGACAGTATATACCCTTGATAGGTGTGACAAGAGCAGCACTTTACCTCTATGCTCATCCTCCCAATATCCCATACTGCAGTCTTATCAATATCAAAAAAATCCCAGTTGGGGAGAATTCTACAAAGTACTTGACCTCAAAGTATTCCTTAAAACTGCCAATGTCATCAACAACAAGGTAAGTCTGATAGAATGTCACAGCCTCAAGGAGCCTAAGAAGGCAAGGAGGCTAAATGTATCCTTGACGGAATCCTGGAACAGAAAAAAAGACATTAAATAAAAACTAAGGAAACCTGGCTGGGCACGGTGGCTCACGCTTGTAATCCCAGGCCTTTGGGAGGCTGAGGCAAGTGGATCACAAGGTCAAGAGATCAAGATCATCCTGGCCAACATGGTGAAACCTTGTCTCTACTAAAAATACAAAAATTAGCTGGGCATGATGCCATATGCCTATACTCCCAGCTTTTCAGGAGGCTGAGGCAGGAGAACGCTTAAACCTGGGAGGTGGAGGTTGCAGTGAGCTGATGCCATTGCACTCCAGCCTGGGCAACAAGAGCGAAACTCTGTCTCAAAAAAAAAAAAGAAAAAAAACAACTAAGGAAACCTGGATTCAAGTATGGACCTTAGTTCATAATAATGTATCCATATTGGATTATACCAGTTGCACGGTCCCTTTACTAACAACACATCATTTTTGGTTGGAAAAGGTTTTCTACAATAAACTCAAGTAAGCCAATTAAATTCATGATCAATTTTCCATACAGGAAAGTTAAAACATTTTCCATTTTTTCCATGTTCACTTTAATGCCATTGAAACCATTTTCACTGGGAATAGTTTCCAGTGAAATATTTTAATGATGACTTTATCAGTCCATATTTTGTCCATACGAAATGTTCCCAACTATAGGTTCTTCCATTGCAAATTTACTTTCATAGCCATTATTTCTAATAAGCCAGTTTTCACTAAGATTTTACCATTCCATACTTTACTTATTTATTTTATTTTATTTTTTTCTTTAGAGACAGTCTCACTCTGCTACCCAGGCTGGTGGCTCAGGCCTATAAGACCAGAACTTTGGAAGGCCGAGGTGGGAGGCTTGCTTGAGGCCAGGAGTTCGAAACTAGCCTAGTCAACATGGTGAGAATCCATATTTACAAAAAAAAAAAGTTTAAAGTTAGTTGGGCATGGTGGCTCATGCCTGTAGGCAGGAAAATCACGTAAGCCCAGGACCTCAAGGCTGCAGTGAGCTATAATCCTGCCTGGGTGACAGAGTGAGACCCTGTCTCAAAAAAAAACACTATCAAGGTTTAAAATCTCAGCCCCACCTCTTAACTCACTGTATAACTGGGAAAAAAGTTAATTCCCCATGCCTCAATGCCTCCATCTGTTAAACGAGGAAAACCGTTGCAGTTACAGGGATGAGGATTAAATGAGACAATGTATGTAAGATACTGAGTACAGAGATTGGCACATTATAAATTGTCAGGGCATGTCAGTGTAGATGTGTGTAAATATGTGATGGTTAGTTTTTACTACATACTGTGCCTTGATAAATCAATAGAGGGCATGTACTCTCTTCTATTTACCATACCACAAACTACAGGAATTATTGCCCTAAAGTTGACTTTTTAAGCCTCAATATTTATGTATAGTACATTTCTCTTTTCCATATTTTTACTGCTGGTCTGAATTGATTATATACCATGTTACCATTATGTGTACAGAAGTGGAATTGTATAGTTAATATAAATATATAATGTAATAGCAGAAAACATCATATAATGGGAAAGCAGAAATTTTAAAGTCAGACAGATGTAGAATCAAATCCCATTTGTCAGCTAAGGGCTTGTCCAAGTTACTGAATCTCTGTTCACCTGCTTTCTCCTTGTTAAAACAGGAATAAGACATGCATCTCACAGAATTGTGATGAAGATTAAGCAAACAACAGTGAAATGCTGAGCACAAAGAACACCCACAATAAATGTCATTCATTCTCTCACACACACACTCCTTAACTACTGCCATCTCTCTACAGTGGATCATTCTGTCAGGTGATCTGTGCCACCACTTTTGTATTTTACATTATGTGTTTTGGTGACTTATTGTGGCAGTTTTTAAAACAGGATACCTTAACCCTGGGTGCACTCAAAGACTGTCTAAAGAGTACAGACCTATGCATAATGTTAAGGCAGTCAATTTCCAGATCTTCAACTTCCACATATATTCTTTCCTAAAATTGACCTGAGACTCCTTTCCTACCTCCCTTTGCACGATCACCCTTTGAAAGAAAGGTCTCCTATTATCCCAAGTGAAGTAACTCAAACAGAAAGCCAAACATTGTATGTTCTCATTCATAAGGGGGAGCTAAGCTATGAGAATGCAAAGGCATAATGGTATAATGGACTCTGGGTACTGGGGAAAGGGTAGGAGGGAGTGAGGGATAAAAGGCTACACATTGGGTACAGTGTACGCTGCTTGGGTGGTGGGTGCACCAAAACCTCAGAAATCAGCACTAAAGAACTTATTCATGTAATCAGACACCACCTGTTCTCCAAAGACCTATTGGAAATAAAATTTAAAAAAGAAAGATCTCTTTACAAAAGGCACGCTTTTACCATTCTTATTCTTACTCTGGTACACTGCACCAAGGTGTAAAAAACTCTAGAGTGCCAAATACAAGGATAATTTAACTCTTCCTCTAGCCAAGATTCCATAAACACCCGCAGCCTTCTCATTAATAAATTTCTGGCTGAGTACAGTGGCTCACACCTGTAATCCCTGCACTTTGGGAGGCCAAGTGCAGGAGGATCGCTTGAAGCCGGGATTTTAAGACTTGCCTGGGCAACAGAGTCCCTTTCTCTACAAAAAATAATTTAAAAATTAGCCATGCGCAGTGGCGCAGGCCTGTAGTCCCAGCTGCTCAGAAGGCTGAGGAAGATCTCTTGAGCCCAGTAGTTCCAGGCTGCAGTGAGCTATGATCGTGCCCAGGAGTTCCAGGCTGCAGTGAGCTATGATCGTGCCCAGGAGTTCCAGGCTGCCGTGAGCTATGATCGTGCCACTGCACTTGCTCCAGCCTGGGTGACAGAGCAAGACCTCATCTCTTAAAAAAATAAATTTTAAAAATTACATTTCTAACACAAATTTACCTTTAAAATTTAATAATGTTTATCATACTGTTTGTATTATTTTAATCTAGTGTTCTAATAATAATCTCAATAGAATTCAATCCAGACAAAAAAAATTTAATACATGGAGCCTTACTGTCAAAGGAAATTTTCAAAAAGCATTTCATTTATTAATACATATTAATATATACACATATACATATTGTAGCAAAGTATGATAGAGTAAGCAAAAAAAAGAAAAAAAGCCCTCAAGCAAAACAATGGGGTAATTCACTGGGAGAAGAGGAATGAAGATCAAATTCAAAGAGGAAAAGAAATGAGTAAAATTTCCCATGTTAAAGGGCTTTATTTCAAATGAAGATGGTGCATATTAAATCACTACCGTATTTATGTTCCATTGAATAAATTTCAGAGTGATTTAATATTTTGATTTATAAACAGCAATAATTACAATAAGCCAGACGTTACAAACTTTGCAACTATTTAAACTTAGAATGAAACAAAAATTAAGTAACAATTGAATTATTTTAAGAGCTACACAGGGGTCTAAAAAAGTCTGACCTTTGAAAAGTTAACCTTAACCCATCTAAGTGTCCTTCCTAAAACTCAAGTCAAGCCCAGGTAATCTCAGTGGCAAGCAAGGAAACCACTAGTGCAAAGACCCTCTTCTTTCCCTACCCAACTTCAACCGTCCCCTCTGTGCCGCACACTCCCGCACCCCCCAGCACCCCACAGCACCCCACAGCCGCCCGCTTCTCTTCCTCAGCAGTCCCTTTACCCGCTCTCCCCCTCCTATTTCCCTCCCCCTTTCCCTATTTCCGCCCGTCCCAGTCCTCCGACGCAAGCGCGTTTCGCCTCCTTCCCCGCCGCCGCTGCTGTGTCATGGCTGAGCGGAAGTCTCTGCCACCACGAGAAAAGGCATACTTTAGGTGGGAGGCGCTTCTCATAGCCTTCTCCCCTTCCTCCCATAACCTTTTTGATCTCCCACCGTAGAGGGGTCCCCTACCCTGCACTCTCCCGAACACCTCGTAGTCCACGGATATGAGTGGCTGGGCGGTAGACATGGCGGCGACGAGCCCTCTGCAGAGGAGCCGGAGCGGGGCTCGGGGCGCGGCGACTGCGGCGGCCGCGAGAGGGAGGGGACACATGGAACCGCTTGGCGCACCCCGCGCCTGTCACCCGTCCCGGACGCGAGTGCGCCGGGGTCACGCGTCGGAAGCGGCAAATGAGACTGCAGGGCCTGGGAGCGAGGGCAGCCGGGCCCCGGGTATCCTAGGCCTACTTTCCCTGTCTCTCTTCCCGGACTGGGGAGGATCCTCTCTCCACAGCGCTCCCTACCATTTAATTGATCAAGGTGCTAAGTTCTCAACGTTTGTAAATAAAAGCCGGATGCTATGCCGAAAAAAGAGTTGCTTCCCCCAGCTTTATTAAAGTGTAATTGACAAAAGTTGTGTGTATTTGTGGTGTACACCGTGATGTTTTGATAGAAGTGTGCATTGTGAAATGATTAAATCAATGAAATTAACATATCCACCGCACCATTTTTTAATGAAGAGAAAATTTCAGATCGCTTGTCAATTTTTAAGGATACAATACATTAACTACAGTCACCATGTAGACAACAGACCTCCAGAACTTACCATTCACACTAACTGAAACTTTGTACCCTTTGACTGGCATCTCCCGGCTTCCAATGCTTTTCATCCCCCTATCCCAGGTCCTCCGCCCCGCTCCATCCCATCGAGATTTGCTTTTGAAATCAAGGGCCTGCCTGTTTAGTTGTTGAGAGGTAATAAATTACTTATGAAATGTTTGGATGACTACCAAAGCCAGAAATCTGGGCCAGCTTTTAAGATGTCTGCATCTTGAGCTCTTCTGTAGCTTCAGGAAGGAGTCGGGCCTGAACTCATATTCTAAATGTATTGTGATATTTTCTGGGATAAGAAACTTTTTAAAAATATGAAGTCTTTTATGCTAGTGGAAACAGAAAAAAGAAAAACACTGTAGTCATCTTGTCTGCTGTTCAGTCATACAGTTTGGTTTTTGTGTGTGTGTTTTTTTGTTGTTGTTTTGAGACAGTTTCACTCTTGACGCCCAGACTGGAGTGCAATGGCGCGATCTTGGCTCACTGCAGCCTCCACCTCCCGGGTTCAAGAGATTTCTCCTGCCTCAGTCTCCCAAGTAGCTGGGATTACAGGTGTGCCCACCATGCCCAGCTAATTTTTGTATTTTTAATAGAGACAGCGTTTCACCATGTTGTCCAGGCTGGTCTCAAACTTCTGACCTCAGGTGATCCACCTGCCTCGGCCTCACAAAGTGCTGGGATTACAGGTGTGAACCACTGCTCCTGGCCTTTTTTTTTTTTTTTAATGGTCTTGATTATTTATCAACATCCCAATTGTCTAGAAGGTTAAGGCTGAATTTTATTTCCTGGTAAGCTATTAAAAAGTTTTATTATTGGCTAGGCGTGGTGGCTCACACCTGTAATCCCAGCTCTTCGGGAGGCGAGGCGGATGGATCATGAGGTCAAGAGATTGAGACCAGCCTGGCCAACATAGTGAAACCCCTTCTCTACTAAAATACAAAAATTAGCTGGGCAAGGTGGCAGGCACCTATAGTCCCAGCTACTCAGGAGGCTGAGTCAGGAGAATTGCTTGAAGCCGGGAGGCAGAGGTTACAGTAAGCCAAGATTGCGCCGCTGCACTCCAGCCTGGCGCCTGGTGAAAGATCAAGACTCTGTCTCAAAAAAAAAATTTTTTTATTATAAAACAATCCACCACTCCAAAGGATCTGGATACAGCTATTGATACTCTGCCACCTTCTAGAATTCCAAATCTGTTTACTTGTGAGAATTTGGATTTCCTCCATTTATTTGTTGGCCTCAATACCTTTACATATTTCTCCGCATCTAGCCACACAGTTAAAATAATCCACTGCAATCTGATTCAATATACTGTGCCAGTTCTATTAGGGAACACCAAAAATCATCTAAAACTTGGTTAGAATGTGGTTATGTTGTACTGGAGCAAACATAGAAAGTCAACACCAAGACAAAAGTATGCCAAATTGCAGGGTCTTTATTGCCGGCGGCCCCGAAGGACTCACGTCTCTCCAACCTGTGGCCCCGACAGGAGGGTGTCAAGAGCTTTTATGCCCGTAAACCACCTCATGGGTGAGGGTGAGGGGTGGGGGTGAGGGGCTTCAGACATTCTGAGGTCCAGTGGATTCCATAAATCACCTCCTAGGAGGAGATGAGGGTGAGGGGCTCCGGACATTCCGAGGGCCAGGGGACTTTGGATATTCTGATTGTTACTTAAGTGGTTTACAGAAGTCAAGCGTTAGTTTACACATTGTCTGGATATGGGTGGAAATTACAGACCTTAGTTACTTATTACAAATCTCGGGGGCCAAGATGGCGTGGGTTTGAACTGCTTGCCTGTCACATTTGGGGTTACAGAGAGCAGTTTCAACAGAAAGCCGAGGTATGGTTGAGGTACGCAGTTTTATGGGCTTTCACCATGTCACAGTTAAATCGTTTTTAAAGTAAAATGTATTCTGGAGATGCTGATGCAGTTAATTTATGTAATGAAGGTCTTGGTTTACTGCAGAGATTTCACAAGTTATCTCTTCCATCTCCCAGTTTACTCCATGAAGACTCTAGATTCAACATAAATTTTAGGTCATTCTTCTTAATATATTCAAAATAGAACCTAAGGTCTTCAGCCTCCACTACCTGCTTCTGCAAATCCTGCATTTAAACTATAGTCAAGACACTCTTGGTTATTCTGCTCTCTCAATAAAGAGGTTTAAAACAAAGAACCTCTTCTCTTGCGTCCGCTCTATCTGGAATGCCTCCCCCTTCTCCAAAATTTTCTATCCTGCTCAGTCACCTCTGTGAGTGGTTACCAGATTTTATCCTAGTTATTTAGTGTGTCTTCCCCACTAGTACAGTCACCGTACTAGTGGGTTCTGTGTTCATAGATTCAACCAACCTCAAACATCCAGATATAGATAGATACATCTTTTTAAAGCATATTGGCCAGCATGGTGGCTCACACCTCTAATCCCAGCATGTTGGGAAGCCGAGGCTGGTGAATTGCCTGAGGCCAGGAGCTATAGACCAGCATAGACCAATACAGTGAAGTCCCACCTCTATAAAAAATACAAAAATTAGCCAGGTGTGCTGGCCTGTGCCTGTAGTCCCAGCTACCTGGGAGGCTGAGGTGGGAGGAAGATTCTTTGAGCCCACGAGACGGAGGTTGCAGCCTGGGCAATAGAGCAAGACCCTGCCTCAAAAAAAAAAAAAAAAAAAAAAAGCATCATTACTGAATAAGTGCAGACTTTTTTGCTTGTCATTATTCCCTGAACAATACAGTGTAATAGCATTTACATTGCATTAGGTATTATAAGTAATCTAAGAGAGGACTTAAAGTATACAGGACAATAGGCATATGTATGTTTCTATCAGGATCTTGAACATACCAGGATTTTGATATCCAAGGGGAGTCCTGGAACCAATACCCTGCAGATAACAATGGATAGCTATACTGTATCTTCTAAACAGTCACTGACTGGGAAGGTTGACATTTTCCTTTTCTTAATCAATCTTTGACTTTTCTCTATATTTACCCAAGAGTACCCCTGCCAATTATTAGGTATGTTTATTTGAATTTTAGAAGTGCTATAGCAACAATTGCCATTTGCTTAGCTGAACAATTTGCTGTGTCTGCCAACAGTCTAACATTAGCATACGGAAATTTTTATGCACCATTTCAGCATGGATTGCCAATAATATGTGAGTCTAAGTCTTTAGAAGATTTAAGCAAATGTTTCTAATATATGTTTTAAGTAATAATAATATGAATTCAACTTTTATTCTTCTTTTCCATGTTGTAGTCTTTCCAATGAATATTTTAATAAATCATACTAGGTGGGTAAACCACACATTTACCTACTGAGTCCATGTTCACATTCAGGCTGTTTCTCACGTTTCACTACCATAAAAAATATTGTAAAGAAAATATTTATGCATGTAGCTTCCTTCCCACATATTTTTAATTGAAGTTAGAATATCAAATCAAGGGTATAAGCATGTAATTGTTCTTGATATATATTGCCAAACTGTTTTTCAAAGGGCTGTGCCAATTTAAATATATTACTACTAACTGATTAGTATGATTATTTGGCTTTTTATATAAACAAATGTATGCAGGTCCTTCTCATACAATGCATGATTGAATTATATGAAAAGCTTTGGTTTTGTAACCTGAGCAACAGCTTTGGAATAACTAGGCTTTGTGTTACTACTGTTGAAATTAAAACCTGTCAAAGAAAGGATTCCCTTCTTCAAATCCTTTAAGACAATTTGTTTGAGATCTAGAATCATGTTCAAAGTAATACATAGAAAAGGAAAATTCTGCTTATATAATATGACTGTAAAAGATGACCAGGCACCAGAACCTGTGAAATAAGGATAGATAACACAGTCTCTGTGTCCAAATGATATTTGAACTGAGGAGGTACTACCTGTGACTCTTGAATTCATCACCACATAGGGACATTTGAAAGGGATTGCTAGGGTTATTTGTCAGAAATTTAATAATAAAATATGATTGATTCCAAGGACAAGCAAAATTACTTTATCCATCAACATATTTCTGTCCCTGAAATATTTTTGTAATCATTATGTTGAAAGTGCAGGACCCAACAGGATACAAATTGTTAATTTCCACAAGGGAAGAGGCCCAAATAAGCCATTTGTCAATCACTGTGGAAGGAATAATTTACAGGTAAAAATAAATGCTTAATTATTCCTAAACTGGATTCAAAATTATTAGACAGCAGACTGTTGGTCAACTGAGTAAGTAGCTGGTTTCCCAGAAGAGGCTTTAATTTTATTACAAGATATCAGAAAATTGCTTAAGCATTCTATCAGCAAAGAATAATTCTTTCCAGAAGAAGATTCTGTCCCAGGTTTGAACCAATTTTTCTTTGTCACAATCCATTTCACTATTAAAAAGTCTAAAGGATATGGAACATTAAAGCTTCTTCCCTCTCCCAGCTTGGTGCTGAGTATGCTGAGGTGAGAAGAGGGCATGGTTGGTCTTTCCACTTGCCTTAGTTACCCCCTACCTGGCTGAAAATGGAAAGAAACAAGTACTTTTGAGATCCATCTGGGCTCTTTGGGATTGGTGAATGTTGAAAGCTGATTAATTATTTTGTAAATAATTAATTTACAAAATCTTTTTGTGGGGACTCAGAGCTTCACCCCACTAAGAATTCCTGACTGCTGCTCCCTTGTTAGACAATTCAAGTTTTCTGCAGCCTCATCCCAGCTTGTATTAAATGCCCCATCCCAGCTTCTGTATTAAATGCTAAACCTCCAACCTCTTTCTGCTGAAAGAGACTAGCCCCCAGCAAGAAGGCCATCTGGGTGGGATCCATTTTAAACTGACTACAGGACC